TTGCTGTGTGCGATTGTGATTGTGTGTGTGTGATTGTGGGTATGCGCGCGTGCGTGTGCATGCGTGTGTGTGTGCGTGTGTGTGCGTGTGCATGCGTGTGCGTGTGTGTGCGTGTGTGTGTGTGTGCATGTGCATGCGTGTGTGTGTGTGTGTATGCATGTGCATGCGTGTGTGTGTGTGTGTGTGTGTGTGTGCGTATGTGTGTGTACGGGTGCATGTGCATGCGTGTGTGTGTGTGTGTGTGTGCATGTGCATGCGTGTGTGTGTGTGTGTGTGCATGTGCATGCGTGTGTGTGTGTGTGAGCGTGTGTGTGTGTGTGAGCGTGCGTGTGTGTGTGAGCGTGCGTGTATGTGTGAGCGTGCGTTTGGGTGTGGGTGTGCGTGCGCGTGCGTGTGCGTGCGTGTGCGTGTGTGTCTGCGTGCGCGTGCGTGTGTGTGTACGTGCGCGTGCGTGTGTGTGCGTGCGCGTGCGTGTGTGTGTGTGTGGGAGCGCGTGTGTGTGTGTGGGAGCGTGCGTGTGTGTGTGTGGGAGCGTGCGTGTGTGTGTGTGGGGGGGGGGGGAGCGTGCGTGTGTGTGTGTCAGCGTGCGTGTGTGTGTATGAGCATGCGTGCGTGTGCGTTCGTGTGCAGTCCGTGTGCGTGTTCGAACGTGCATGTGCGTATAAGCAATGATCGAGAACCGACAAAATAGAATCGCATCTATTTAACTTTTCTTCTTTTCGGTAAGTTACCGAAAGCGACGCCCCCTCTTAGAGACTAAGTTCCAAAATGAGATTTTTTGACGTTTCCTCTACCCAACGATCTTGGGGGATGCGTGGGGAACCGGGGGTTGAAGGGGGGGGGGGTAATGGATGGCGCTGAATGTCAATAGGAACCGGCAGAAATCGAAGAAAGTGATTTAAGAAACGTTAAAAAGTCGATTTTTCGAACACCCGAGCCAAATTTCTGTCCCGAAAAGCACAAAAAAACGATGAAAATCTGCCTGTGAAACTCTACGGGCGTCCCCGCCATCTTTGGAAGTCTACGGACCGACGCGCCCATTTTCTAAAAAAACAAACCTAGCCTGCGGTAACAGAACCCTTGTCCCACAAATATTCAAAATCACCTTAGTCATACTAAAATTGCACGTAAATTTGCCATTGAGAATGGATGTTCTGAGTGCGACCCTTCAGACACACAACATTGCTTTGCAGAGTACTATTCAAACTCTAATCCAGGGAAGCACACTGTTTTTCTTGACCTTAAGTCAGCTTTTGACATTGCAAACAGAGAAATTATCCTAGAACAATTAGTAAGCTTTGGCATCCGGGGTAAATTATTGAGCTGGATTAGAATGTATCTGTCGAACAGATCTGCAAGTGTCTTGTTCAGGGGTGTGAGAAGTTCCACTTCACAATCTTTTGAACTTGGGACGCCACAGGGAGGAGTTCTCAGTCCTATGTTGTTCAATGTCCTCATGCACAAGCTGGTGGCAGATATTCGACTTGGGGATGGGGAATCCATTATATGC